TCCTGTGACTCATGCTGTCATTAACCTGTTAGGTGGAAGCTTGCTTTGAATCTTTGCTAAGGATTGAACAACTAAAAAGAATCCTAATCATAACCATTATGTTTAATAAATCTCTCATTACAAGGGTGGGTGTGAGGAAGATATTTCCCATTTTCAGGCCAGCCCAATTCTACTGACACAGCTAGGATTCAAATGTAGATCTAATTGCTAAGCCTATGTTATTTTCACAATGCTTTACTTAAATTCAAGAAACCAAAAGCTTTCCTCATAAATGGTTGAATTGATTTTCAAAAAATAAAGGCTTAAAAAGAAAAACTTGAAGGTCATAGTCACATCAAACCCTAAGAGAGGGATCCAGTCCCCACCACCATAAGTTAGCAGGGAGAATTAAGCAACAACTAACAGAGGGTCGTGAGTGCTGAGATAGGGGGTGTTTTTCTGCAGAAAACCAGATTGGGTAATTTATCAAGTAAATTTATTTCTTACAGTTCTGGAGACTGGGAAGTCCAATATCAAGGTGTCAGCATCTTGTAAGGGCCTCCTGCTGTGTCATCACACGGCAAGGTCAAGAGCAGGCCAGCTTGGTCTCTCTTCCTCTTCTTACGAAGTCCCATTATGAGGACTGATGACCTTATCTAATCCTAATTACTTCTTAAAGGCCCCACCTCAAATCAACATGTGAATTGGGGATTAAGTTTCCAACACATGAAACTTGGGGGACACATTCAAACCATAGCAGGGAGACACAGGGGTCTATGAGAACGTGTAGCAGGGGGTGGACTGTGGGGGCTATAGGGGCTTCCTCAGGAACTGCTGAGGCTTCAAGATTGAGGACGCAGCTTCGTGAGAGGAGGGGAGGGCTCAGACGGTTTTACTTTCTAGGCTTCTTATGAAAATTCACCTACCTTCATCACTTTAAATATACCATTTTCCAAATTGGACCAGAGAGAAATTAACAAACTAATTAATCTGAATACTTTTGGATGCAAGGCTCTTTAGAGGGTTGGGAATGGGGAGGAAACAGAGGAATAAAGAATGTCCTGAGCCCTCAGAGAAACTCAAGTATCGGACACATCTAGGATGTTTTAAAGCGGGTGCTGACCCAAGGCCTGTGCTCAGGGTTGGGGGTCAGACCATCTGACAGGACTGCGCCAAATGTGATAAGGAATTAGAGCAGCCCCACACCCAGGTGACCGCCCACGAAATGACAGCTTTTATTTGCTTGAGTAAAGGAGTTATGTGGCTTGGCCTCTGTTAGATGCCAAACACTGATAAAGTGTTCTTTCTACTCAAATGGCTTAGCTGTGGCCAACAAAAGTACAAAAAGGCCCGTTTGCCTACTGACATTCCCATTAACTCTTAGTCGCTTCGGAAGCACAGGCCGGGGTCATCGGAACATGGAAACTGACTAAGCACGAGGTACTTCTCATCTGCTCTGGGGCCAGGTGAGGAGCCCTGAGGTCCAGGTGGGGCACATGGCCTGAGGTGCCGCATTCCCACTCACCCCGCAGTGGCTGGAGCCTCCGCTCGTACAGCCGCAGCTCCCAGCACACCACCAACAGGTCGGGCCAATGGAACCCCACACTCTAATGCTCACACCCTTGACTAGAGCCCCCAGTAAATCCATTTCTTCAATCCACCCTGACCCCACTCACCTTGGGCACTGCTACAACTTTGGAAATTCTGTTTTCCTGGGTCTTCAGTTTCTCCATCTACCTTTGATTTTTATCAGTTGCTTCAAGCCTCCTCTATCCTATGCTGCCCACTTCCCTTCCCTCCCTTTGGCACCCCCAATCTTCTACTTGGTGACGGTAAAACTGCCTGCCACCACCGGCATCACCTAGAGGCCTACCAACATGAAGACCTAGTAGGAAACGGCCACCTCGCATGGTCTTTTGTTGCAGAAGTGACAGTGAGGACAGGCACCGTGAGGCGAGTTAAGTTCTTGTTTAAGGCCGGGTCTGTGATTAGACATCCTTCACCACTTCTTATCATCCTTCACCACTTTTTGGGTTTCAGCAGGTCCTCCTGCTACTCTGTCCCCATCAGCTCACCATGCTGCAATACCCCAGCTTCCTCCCACCCTTCACCAAAGGGTGTTTTGGCCAGTATGGTAATACAATCACAATGGAGGGAGGCTGGCTGGTGCTTGGGCAGAATGTGGTTGAACAGTGTTGAAAGACAGAGCAGGGCCTAGTGGGTGACAGAAAGGCAAAGACAATGATTCTCTCTTGACCCCCCAAAAGGCCACAGATGTATCTGCCTAAAAGACTCACTAGTCCCACTGAACAACTGCTGCTGTGACTCAGAGTGGTCAGTCTCTGTCAGCACAGAGCAGCAAACAGGCCACGACAGAAAACCAAGCCCCAACATGCTGGGTATCTCTCTGACCAAACTACCCCAGCAAGGAGCTGGACCCACCAAGAGCTCGGCTAGGAACAAGGCAGAGACTGCAGGAGTTGAATGGTCTCCAAGAGGTACTAGCAACCAGCAAAACACGCCTTCTGCCCAAGGAATGATATTGCTTCTCTCAGGAATCTGAGAAGGGGCTAAGAGCAGGCTGTTTAAATAAAGATTAAATTCGTCCTCCTTTTGGTGATATCACCACTACTGCCTGGTTTCCACCTCCAAAAGAAGCTGTGCCAGGGCCGGCCCGTGGCTCACTCGGGAGAGTGCGGTGCTGATAACATCAAGGCCCCGGGTTCGGATCCCGTATAGGGATG